TATATAAGCAAGACATTAACTTTTAACTTCAGAGCATTGACCCTATTTCTCCGGAGTCTATGTTTCCCAGATGGCTATGTCTAGTTTTTCACTGGAATAAACTCTTTAAAACTGGATTCTGATCCTTTCAATTACTTCAGGTTGATATATAAAACACACAGTAATTACAACATAAGATAATACAACAGAATTGAGACCAAACAAAATTGCCATATCAATATATCAATAAGCCAAACTTGTCTATTTTTAAAAAAGGATTTAAAATTAACTTATACAGTGAAACTCAACTCTATGTTGTATACAAGAGACACACTTAAAATGCAGTGATTCCAAGGGATAAAAATAAAAGGATGGACGAAAATTTACCAGACAAATAGGAACAATAAGAAAGCAGAAATTTCAATTCTGATTTCAAAGTAGACTTCAAGTAAAAGCACATAAAAAAGACAAATAATATTTTATAATGTGAAATTATATGATAAAGGTGTAACTATTATGAATAGGCATCAAATAACATAGCTTCCATCTATATAATATAAAAGCTGTAAGAGTTGCAAGAAGAAATACAGAGAAAAACACTAATAATAGAAGAATCTAACATATCACTCTCAGTATGAGACAGGGCAAATAGACAAAAAAAAAAAAAAAACCTCAATAAAATAAGGTAGATCTTCTGTCTACATATTGACCACGACACCCTAAAAATAGAGAACATATTTTTTTTCAGTGCATATGGAACTTTTACAAAAATTGATCACAGACTAGGGCACAAAGAAAATATCAGTATGTCCCATAAAGTAGAATTACTGCAATGCAATAAAACTACAAATTAAAAATGAAATTTTTTTTTAAAAAGGCCTCTCTTATAGTTTGAATGTTTGTCCCTTCTGAAACTCATGTTGAAACTTAATCCCCAATGTGGCAGTATTTAGGGGTGGGGCCTTTAAGAGGTGATTGGGTTGAGGGGTTTGCCCTCATGAATGGATTAACCCATTCATGCATTCATGGATTACTGGATTAATGGGTTATCATGGGAGGGGGGCATTGTTGAAAAGGAATATCTGAAAATGTGGAAGCATCTTTGGAACTGGGTAACTGGAAGACACTAAAAGAATTTGGAGGAGCAGCCTAGAAAAAGGCTAAAATTCCTTGAAGGGAACACAAATAGAGATTCTGGTAAAGGCTTGGAAGACAAGAAAACTAGGGAAAATTTAGAATTCCACAGAGACTGGTTAAGTGGTTGTGACCAGAATGCTGACAGAAATACAGACGGTAATGGCCATTCTGACAAGGTCTCAGATGGAACTGAGGAACGAAGTACTGGAATGTAAAGTAAAGGCCATTCATGTTATAAACTGACAAAGAAATTGGCTTAACTGTGTCTATGCCTGAGGGCTTCTGGGAAGGCCAAACTTGAGAGTGATGAACAAGGGTATCTGGCAGAAGAAATTTCTAAGCAAAATATAAAAGTAGCTCCGTGGTTACTTTTGGCCACTTAAATTGAGATTCGAGATCAAAGGAATAACATAAAGAAAGAATTTATAATTCAAAGTGAAGCAGAGCAGAAAGATTTGGAAAACTATCAGCCTGGCCACATACAGAGTGAAAAGTGTGTCCAGGAGAGAAAACCAAGAGTTTAGCCTACCAATCCTTTGCTAAACAGATTAACACAGAGAAAAGGGAGCCAGGTGCTATTTCTCAAGACAATGGAAGAAAGACCCAGAAGGATTTCAGAGATCTTCAAAGCTGCCCCTCCCATCACAGGCCCAGAAGTCTAGGAGGGCAAAATGGTTTCAGGGGACAGGCCCAGGGCACTCTTCATGGCCGGCTGCCCAGGAAAACTCTGGACTGTGCTCCTTGCACCCTAGCTGCTCCACGGACACTCCAGCCAAGGTCAAGTGACTCCAGGTGTGACTCATGCCACAGCTCTAGAAGATATGAGTGGTAACCCTAGGCAGCATCTATGTGATACTAATTCTGCAAGCTTTCAGAAAGCAAGAACTATGGAGGCTTGGCAGCCTCTACTCAGATTTCAATAGGTGTCCCCAAAAGCCTGGGAGCCCAGACAGAGACTTGTACCAGGGCAGAGCCAATGGCAAAATGTGGAGTTGGAGCTGACACAGAGAATCCCCACCAGGGCAATGCCTAGTGGAGTCGTGGGAGTGGGACCACCACCAGGACCTCAGAACTACGTAGTTACCAGCAGCATGCAACATACCTCTGGAAAAGCTTCAGGCACAGGACTCCAACCCATACCAGCAACCACGTGGGCTGCACTCAGCAAAACCATAGGGGAAGGGCTGCTGAGGCCTTGAGGGCCCACTCCCTCCCAGAGGCATCACAAGAAGTCAAAAGAGAAACCAAGGGGGTAACCCAGCAACCACTTGCTAAACAGATCAGCACAGAGAGAAGGGAGCCAGGTGTTATTACTCCAGATAATAAGAGAAAGATGCCAAAGGCATTTCAGTGATCTTCCATACTGCCCCTCCCATCATCGGCTCAGAGGTCCAGGAGGGCAGAATGGTTCTAGGTAACAGGCCTGTGGCACTCTCCACAGTTGGCTTCCCAAGGCCATTTTGTGACTCTGCTCTCTGCAACCCAGTCCACTCTGTGGCCTCTCTTGCCCTGTTCAAACGACCCTAGGTGTGGCTCATGCCACAGCTCTAGAAGTGACAAGTCATAAACCTTGGCAGCATCCACATGATGCTAATTCATCAGGTTTGCAGAAAGCAAAAGCTGTGGAGGCTTGGCAGACTCCACTCAGATTCAAAGAATGTCCTTGAAAGCCTAAGTGCTCAGGCAGAAATTTGTCCTAGGGCCAGAGCCACTGCAGAGAGCCCCCACATCAGCAATGTGGAGCACGAATGCGGTGTTGGAGCTGGGGAGGAGAGTCCCTACCAGCGCAATGCCTAGAAAAGTCATGGAGGTGAGGCCTCCACAGAGTCCCCACTAGGGCCACACCTAGTGGAGCCGTGGGAGCAGGACCACCACCAGGACCCCAGAACTATGAAGTCACCAGCAGCATGTAAGGTATGCCTGGGAAGCTTCAGGAACCCGACTACAACCCATATGAATAGTCACATGGGCTACACATAGAAAAGCCATAGGCGCAGGGCTGCCTGAGGCCTTTGGGCCCAATCCCCACCCCAATGTGTCAAAGAGGTGCCGCATAGATGCAAAAAGATTATCCTCCAGCTTTAAGATTTAATGTCTGTCCTGCTGGGTTTCAAACTTGCTTGGGACCTGCTAGTCCTTTCTTTTTGCCAATTCTCCCTTTTAGAATAGGAATGCCTGTTTTATGTGTCTACCACTATTATATCTTGGAAATAGACAACTTGTTTTGATTTCTTAGGACTCTGGACTTTGGATTTTTGAGTTGGTGTTAGAATGAGTTAAGACTTTGGGACTATGGGTATCGAGTGAATGTATTTGTAAGAAAAACATGAGTTTGGGAGGCCAGGGGTGAATGCTATGGTTTGAATGTACATCCTCTCCAAAACTCATGCTGAAAGTTAATCCCCAGTGTAGCAGTATTGATAGGGGACCTTTAAAAGGTGAGTGGGTCATGAGGGCTGTGCCTTCATGAATGGATTAATCCATTCATGGATTAATAGGTTAATGGGTTATCAAGGGAGTGGGACTGATGGGTTTATAAGAGGAATAGAGACCTGAGCTAGCATACTCAGCCCCCACTCCATGTGATGCCCTGTACGGCCTCAGGACTATGCAGAGTCCCCACCAGCAAGAAGACCCTCACCAGATGCTCCCCCTCGACCTTGGATTTCTCAGCCTCCACACTGCAAGAAATGCATTACTTTTCTTTACCCAGTTTCAGGTATTCTGCTATGAGCAACAGAAAATAGAATAAGACACTCTTCTTGTAAAAATTTAGGAATTCTACTCTTAAGTAAAAGTAGAAATCCAAAGAAATTACAGAATTTATGAAAAATAATTATAATGAAAACAATATATATCAGAATCTATGGGATACACTGAAAGCAGTGATCAGATGAAAATTCATAGCCTAAATACTTATATCAATAAATATCAATGAATTAAAATAAATTTTCTACTGAAAAAAGAGAAAAAAAGAAAACAAAGTGAACCAAAAAAAATCCAAGGATGAAAATAATAGTACAGAGAAGAAGTAGGTAAAATTAATAAATCAAAATCCTGGTTCTTTGAAAAAATAAACAAAATAGACAAACCACTAGGTAACTTAAGACCAAAAAAGTGAACAAAGAAAAAAAGCACAAATATACAAATAAAAAGTGACAAGGGAAAAATAACTACCAATAAAGAGAAGCCAGAAATTATTTGTAAGAGTCTACCTTGTAGACTGCTATGCAAATAATTGGAAAACTTAAAGGAAGTTAGCAATGTCCTAGGCTGTGGAAATGTTCCAGATTAAAGGAAGCTAAAGAGACATGACTACTAAACGTAATGCTGCCCCTAGACTGAATCCTGCACTGGAGGAAGGAAAATGCTATAAAAGACATTATTTAATCAAGTGACGAACCTGAATATGGATGGTAGATTAGATAAGAAGTATATGTATAAAGTCAATTGTACCATGGCTATAGAAGAGAATATCCTTATTCTTAAAGAGCCATGGTGTATTTAAGTTAGTCTAAAATGGTTCAGGGGAAACAATGTATGTGTGCACACACACATATACAGAGAGAGAGCAAGAGCAAGAGCGGAGAGCACACACAAGTGAGAGAGAATAATATAATGGTAAGTAAACGGACTAAACTATTCACAATAGGTGAATCTAAGTAAAGGGCATCCTATTGTTTTTTCTACTACTTTACTTCAATAACTTTTTGATTATGTTTGAAATTATTTTCAAATAAAAAGTTTTCTAAATGACATTACAAAAGTAGGATCATGTTACTGATCCCATGTCTGTTAATAAAAATCTCATTTCTAAAGGAAAAGTCATTCCTTTAAAATGTTAAATGATCTGAAACTTTAGGTGGCAAATAAAAAGAGCTTACCCATGAATAGGAATGCAAAACAGCCTTTCCATATTAGAAAGAATAATTCTGACAGTCTCTGGTGTTCTGGAAGAGCCCAACTCAGTTATCAAGAGTGATTTGGTAATGTCTAAAAATAAAAAAAAAAAAGTTTTAAATGATCACTAGGTTTTAATAATTAGAATTCAAGGAAAAAATTAACACTTGTAATTCAGAATGAAATAGGACATTTTTATCCCTTACCCTAGTTTTATCAAATTTGTTTCTAAGCCTTTAAATATCAAAATACTGATAAATATATTATCCACAAGTGATCTTCTTTATAAGCATCAGAGTCCAACTTCTAAGGCCATTCCCCTAAGAGTGCAGAATGTAACCAATTTGCCTGCATGCATGATGCCTTCAGTGGGAAATAAACAAATATCTTAAATATAAAAGGAGTAGAAATTAGAAATTAAATTCAACAAAGAATTTATATATAGATCTGAAATTTTAAAAAAAGTTTAAATTACGTGACTACACAGTGGGTCTTATCTGACTTCCATTTACTGTGTCAAGAGATCATCCAGTGCTTTCCATTCCCCTCTGAAACATCAGACTGACTGAAGCTCAGGACACACTCAACACTCCCCACATTTCATCTCCTCCCACCAGCTAAGATTTGCGGTCACCAGCTGTGTTTGTTCCCAGCATGATTATAACTGTTGTCCTACATCTAATAGCTGTATAATTTAATTTAATATTACATAAAGTGAAGAATGATTATGCAAAAGGAAAAAGTTGTGTCTATGAAACCTAACACATTCCTTCAGTGCTAAGATGCACATTTTCTCACATTAACATCTCAAAAATTAGGATGTATCATCCAATCCTTGAGGTCTTAGAGTTCAATAAAAAGGAAATGAACTAAAAATCTGCTCTCAAATTAAGTGTTTGATCAAGGGGAAAAGTATAAAAGTCTAGAAAGATTCTGTACTCAGGTTGTTTTGCAAGTATCTTTAAGTTCTTGCTGCACTTTAAAGAATCTGAAAGTGCAAACTGTGGAAAATGTTGGATGTGGTTTATGGAAGAAAGGTAACTCAAAACGTCAATCAGCCTTGAGAAAGAAAAAAACACTTTTTATCTGAGGAATTCAAGCCCCTTTAAATTATCAGGCCCAGGGAGGCATTTAAAATATAACAGCAGTCACGTCTCACTCCCCTTGAGCTAAATAATTATGTCTTGAAAGCACTTGCTATGCGGGCTCTAGACTAACTGACGCCAAGTAGCCAAAAACATGCCATGCACCCTATGGTTCAACAATGTACAGCCAATCACTAAGCAACGTTATTTCTGTAAACCAACAAATATTCCTGAAGAACAACTTTTGTAATCAGCCCCTCTTCTGATTCATCCTTTTTTCTTTAAAAACTTGAGCCTCTCCTTTGTTTTCTGGAGCACCCTCCAAGGCAATCTGGAAGTGTGTCCAGAGTTTCAGTCCTCAACTTTGGCCCAAATAAACTCCTTATATTAATTTTGCCTGAGCTTCTTCCTTTTAGGTCGACAGCTGTCACAGAAAAAGATGACTTAAAATGCCAACCATCCAGTTCATGAAAAATGAGTATTATAATTTTTAGTGATTCCCAGCATCAAAGAACTTTTTTCCCCAATTTAGTATATCCCAAAGGCATCACATTGGATCAGAGGAATTCTATGAAGAATCTGAGAGGCGGTGGCTAAACAAAGAAACCATGAACTCCACTAGGGTAGGAAGCCAGTCTTTATCATCTTCCTCTCCATCACCCAATACAATGTTGAGCCTGAAGTGTTTGCTCACTTGCATTTGCTTTCCTGTATCCACTCTATACTCAAAATACAAGTTGAAATAAAAGAATAAAGAGAAAATAAACACAATTTATGAATTAGTTAACACTTGGAGAACTCCGTAAGGGAAATTAAAAACAATCAAATAGGAGTACACAATATCAATTGTACCAAAAATCGAAGATTAAACCTACCTTCTTGTTGTGAAACCTGTAGTTTTTGACCATTACAAAAGGCTCCTTTTCCTTTCCTGGCAGTGTACATCTTATCTTCCACACAGCTGTACACAACTCCAAATTCTATCTGCAGAAGGAAAACAAGTTTCCTTTACCAAACCTGAGTTTTTTTCATCATTAAATCAATACGTTTTTTCTAAGACAGTAACAAGAAAATCTGGACTACTGACTAATGTACCGAAACGGGTAAACAATGAAAGACGTAAAATGCTGGTTTCCAGCCTAATCAGACGAAGAGGTCCTCAGACCTGAAATCCTTGACTCCCTTCCCATCCATGTCCAGACTTAAATAAGAGCACCCACCTTACCTCTCTTCCTCCTGCCTCAGATGAAGACAGATCTTTCCTATTTTCTAAGGTGAACAGTGTTGATTCCTGTCCTCTCATATATTCTCTGAAAAACTGCTCCATCAACTGATTCTTCTACTCTCGAGTTTTTCTTCTGGTACCTTCTAACCAAGTTTCTCCCTCCCTTACAAAACCTTCAAAATGGTATCCTCTCCTTTTCCCTTCACTGGCAAACAGCAGTCCACATTTTGCATCTCCTGTTCTCCTCTAATACATTGCACTTTGGCTTCCGTCCTGATCACTCATTCTTCTGAAACTCCCACACAGAGAACATCAATGAACTCTTCCTGACCAGATGCATTGTCTAAAGAATTGGAGACAGCTGGCCGGGCCGTCATCAGCACTTAATTCAGTACCTCCATGATTCTGGCATTACTCTCTTAGTTCTCCCTGGCTCATTAATCCATTTCAGTGTCATTATTTCAGAACCTTCTTCTCTGCCCCACCCTTAAAAGTTGTGCACCTCAGGCTTTTTTTCGTCTTCCATTGCCTCCATTTCCCTCTTAGCTCTTCATATTCTTACAGTTTGGTCCTTTCCAGCCCACAAATTCTGCTATCACCTATAATTTTGGCTCCCATCAATCCATCATCACAGGTAAGAGTCTACATTTCAGAACCTAGTCTTGCAGAAGCCTCAATCAGAGGTCAAGATCACCCATTGTCTGGTCACCGCCCATTCCTTCCCCACAAATCTCCTCTTTCAAATTTTATCCTAAAAACGCATCCCGATTTGGGCATTTCCTTGGTTATTCTCACTGCCTCACCTTAGTTCGGAATCACCCACTTCCCAATATAATCTCTACCTTGCTGGAATTATCTGTCACTTTTCACTTTAAGACCTCTACTGGTTTCCTACTAAGAAACAAAAACTAAATTTTCTCATCGTCTCGCAGTAAGACCACATTAACTAAACTGATCAACCTCTTCTCTGGCCACTTCCAGTGTTTTCCCCTTGATGAGCATCTCACTGTTCCCCATATACATGATGCTCTTCAACTTCTCCAAGCCATTCTTTCTGATTAAAATGCTTTCCATTTCTTTTTGATCTGGCAAATCCCTAATTTTCTAAGCACCAGCTCACATGACCAACTTCTAAGACCCCTTCTGTTACGAAGATTTCCCCAACTCACACTTGGCAGAATTGGTTACAACCTGTGTTCCTAAAGTATTTTTTATCATGGTTCCACCACACATTATTTTTACCTATTCATACATCTAACTCTTCACTGAACTGTGAGTTCAATGACAGGGACAGCACCTAGCTCAGGCCTCGTTATATACAAAATACTCACTTAGTTCTTTTGGATGTTTTCACTGATGTATGCAACCCTGTGGCTAAGCTTTTATTTGTATTAATTTGTGCTTTGATTTTTAGAAATTTCTTGATCGTTTTGTGTATATTCTGATCAAACATAAGTTCCTTAAAGACAGGTAGTAAGATGTTAGTAAACATCCATCAGTGTTTGACCAACTAAATAGCCAAACAAAGAGAAAATACAATAGCTATGAATGTTACTTTACTAGGCTTTAGACATGAGTGTTCAATAATGTTTAGATTCCTAAATATACTCTGTGATTTCCAACCATGCTTTGGCCCCTACTACTTCCTGGTCTCTGAATATCTCTCTTCACTGACACCTATTAAAGCATTCCTTTCTCAAATCTCACCTCTTACTTGTGAAGCATTTTAGATCAAACATCAACTCCTATCATATCTGACGCTATCACATATAATGGTAACTAAATATTGAATTGTATTTCAGTTACTTGTGTATATTTTCTCCTTACAACTCCTGATTCTTGAAAAACATTAATTTTTTTCACTAAAATGTATTAAGAAAATTTTAATAGTCCTTCCTATAGCTTATATTCAAAATAATACAGTTTATAAATTGAATACAGAGACATTCTGGATTTATTATGAAAATACATTTTCTCTTGCTCAGAAAATTAGAGCAAGGCCTTTTATCAATCATACATTTAAAACAACATACCTTTTTATTTATAACAAAGCCAATTGAAACAGCTACAAAAGGAAATCTTAAAAGAAAGACAAAAAACAAATTTACCAGGATATAACTTATTTTTAATAAAATTAATAAAACTCATCTTTTCATAAGGTAAGTGCTTACAAAATTTTTCATATAAAAAAGTCTCATCCCTCCTCCTCCGAAAAGGTAAGACATAAAACAGTGTATACAGTATGCAATCCTTTGTGTAAATAGGAGGGAAAGGAGCGATATTACATATACATAAATACATACATACAGGATGCTCCTACGGGCATGAAACATCCCTGAAAGAATTCACAAGAAACTGATAACAATGGTCACCTCCAGAGACGGATCCTGGGAAACTGGGGACAGAAGTGGGAAAAGCACCTTGTACTGCATGCCATTTTATATCTTCAGAATGTCAAACGCTAGGAATATAGTAACTATATAAATATATTTTTCCAAAAAATAAAAATAAATTTTTAAAAACTTGTAAATCGTGGTTAAAAAGAAAGATTATTTTTGGTCACTTTCCCACAGCCTGAACCATTGATAGACCCAAGTACTTCATTATACAGCATAAATTGTTGTTACTTATCTCTACTTCAACTCCAAACCTGGAGCTTGACACCTGAAAAGTAAACTAGCTGCATGACAGTTGGAACACAGAGGTGTAATTTCTGACTCAAAAGAGAATTAAGATGAAGAAAGTAGACAAAACAGGTTCTATGCAACTATTCAAAATAAAAACTTTTAAATATTTTAGTTTTTAACAAAAACAGGATCATACTGTGCACACTGTAGCATACAATCTTCTTTTCTTACATTATAATATATCATGAACATCTTTTCAGATCTGAAAGATATATCATTTCTATCACATATAGATTCTAGACCTTAACTTAACAGAGTTTAATGGTTACATACATGGTACATATGTGTACAACTACATGGCAACTTCAAATATAACATTGATGTGTACTCCCGCCAAACCAGGCTACTCATCATAACTCTCACGGGCAATTCCATCAAGCTTTCTTCTAATGGGAATATACTGAGTTATAATATACTCTGTGCCAGGCACTATGCTAAATCCTATATAAATGTACTAATCATTGAGTCCCAACAACAAACAATTCTATAAGGCAAGGGCCATTAATATGACCATTTTACACATTTTCTAAACACTGAGGTTTAGAAAGATTAACTAACTTGCCCAAAGTCACAGTAAAAAAGAAACAGAACTGAAGCCCAAGTCTATTGATCCTATCACCCCAGCACTTTGGAACCCTATTTGCTCTCTTGGACTCAACTCATTCTATATCCAGAGTGAACTCCTTAGTTTCTTTACTGATCTCAAAGCAGCAATGTTGTTTGCTTCCATTTTTACATGGCTCCCACAGTGAGGCAAAGAATGGTGAATAGGGCACTTTGCAGCACAAGACAGGATCACACATAATATTTCTTCCCCTCCTCCACATCTGGTGAGAAGTCTGCATAATGCATTTTGCTCTACTATTCACTCTAAATAGACTTTCTTAGAATAAAGAAGCACAAACAAATTACACAATTCTCTAAAGTGTGTATGTTCCTCAACAGAGTGCTCTAAAAGGCCACCCAGTTAATATACCAACAGTAATTATATTAAAAATTGTAAAACATACCTATGTACAAAGTTAGTTGTTCCATCAATAGGGTCAATGATCCACGTGGGGTTGTCGGTTAAGACACATTTTTCCCCAGCTGCCACAGACTCCTCACCAATGAAACTAAAGGAAAGAATGACAAATTCCTAATCTTTACATCACTTTCAACAATTTCCAAACCATAAGATCCCCTTAGCTACACAGAGTCTACTATAAAACATAAAACTCTGTGCCCTACTTTTCCAGTGTTGCTCTTTTTCCTTCCTATAAAGACTAATAAGAATGAGGAAGCTTTATTTCCCCCAGAGCAAATTCATGTAAAAAATTACAGAATTCAAAATTCTAAAATGTAGTACCAGGGTAAGTAAAGGCACATGCACGTGCACTTGTGCCTACACACACACACCTGAAAAGAGCATTTGCTGCGTATGAGAAATCATTAAGAAAATGTGGTGATTTTAAAAAAAGCCCACACATTCTCTAATATTCCTCCCTTCAAGAAGTAGAGCCTAATACTCTTTGCCTTGAGTGTGAGCTAGACTTAGTGGTTTTTTTCTAACCAATAAAGTGGAAGCGACAGTGTAAAATTTTAGAGGCTAGTTCACAAAATGGCCCTGTGGTTTGCATCTCATTCTCTGTGCTTCTCTCTCCCTTCGCCACCCACCCCTCGCTTTGGAAGAAGCCAGTTGCCATGCTGTGAGCTGGTCTGTGAAGAGACCCACATAGCAAGGAACTGAGGGAAGCCACCAGCAGACAATCCTCGAGGGGCTGAAGTGTGTCAGCAATTACACAAGTGAGTGACCCTTCAACCCCAGTCATGCCTTGAGATCACTGCAGCCCTGACCACATTGACTGTAGCTTCATGGGAGCCTTGGCCAGAACCATGCAGCTAAGCTACTCCCATATTCTGTAATCCCAGGAAACTGTTCAATAATAAATGCATGCTGTCTACAGCTGTTTTTAGGGTAATTTGCTTTGCAGTAATATATTACTAATACAGACAACATTAAATAATCAATGAGAAAGCAAATCACCCAAACTACTGTGTGTGTACATGCCTTCCTAAATCATGCTATGCAATAAATCTTATGGAAATTCCAAAAATGGTGTCTGATTCATTGGTTTTCTTCTTTCCTGTTTTCTTTTTATTTATTTTCCTTTATTTAACACTGAACTGTCCCAATAAGCATTATCATGATCTTCTTTTCTCTTTTTCTCTTAGCTGAAAACCTTTTTATGGAGGAAGTATATTTAGTCACAGCTTTAAACATTTTTTCTTCTCAATGGCTAAAAAGACCAAGAATGGTCAATGGCCAATGGCATGACTAGGAAGAAGTATAGAATGACAGCGTTAACACTTTAAAATGATGACAATGTTTTTGCCAAATTTTCATGGCTATAAAAGAGTCCTGAATTAGGATTTTCTCTCAAACTCACTAAAGCTACTGCCACTATACCATACAGAGAAGTTTACAATAAAGACAATAAAACTGAACTTTGAAATGATGCCAGTGGCAGACATTTGTCATGTTGGCTCCCCAGCATCTAAACATTCCTCTTACTATGAAGGAATCCAAATATTCCCTCTCCCCTGCTGCCTGGCAGCTTGAGCAGGGGCGAACAACCTAAGCTCAGAAACCACATGTTCCTGTCCAGGATTTGTAATCATAAGCTAATGAGGTCAAGATAGAAGGGTGATTAAAAGTATTCAAAACCATCAGAGTCAGGGGTGAGGCCACCAGTGGCCTCCTAAGAGATGGCTCTTGTGTGATCTATGTGTACACCTCCTCCCTCCCATGCTTCCTGCCTGAGCTGCCCAACACCCTCAACATAAATTGCTTTTCAGCTTAAGTTAAAGTCATTTTCTATGTCTAGAATCAAAATTCTTGCCTAATATTGACTTCAACCTAGGCTTCATTTTATCATTTGAAATTGAATAAAGAAATACCTGTGGGATGGGTATTTTTCCCTTATGGAAGAGATAAGCATTTTTTCAACTTTTTGGTCTGTTGCAGTTACCAAATCAACTGGAGAACTTTTCAGCATAACATTCATTTCATTTTTTAGAGCTTCACGGACCACCTAGAAGGATTTTTTTTTTTGTAAGCAAACAGAAAAGGCATAAGTAATTGTAAATCAAACAAAAAGATAAAATATAGAAATGGTTTAAAATATTCAATCTAAGCTAGGTGCAGTGGCACATGACGGTAGTCCTAGCTACTTGGGAGGCTGTGGCAGGAAGATTGTTCCAGCCCAGGAGTTCCAGAACAGCCTGGGCAACAAAGCAAGACAAACAATCAATCTATCTTAAATGATATTCTTAAAAGATATCCTGAAAAATGTTTTACAAATATGTCTATAGAATATGCCTTTAATGATTGTGACCTGTAGGTACAAAAATATATAATCTTGCATCCTATTTTAGATTCACAACAGTCATCACAAGAAGTTTAATGATATAAAATTGAAGTATTCATTCTATTTGAAGTATACAGTAAAATGAAAACAAACGTAGATTAATCAAAATATGCATTTTATTTAATGAGACAATCTCACTCTGTCCACAGTCATCACATTATAGCTGACAAAGTTTTAGTTCATACCTCACCAGCTTGTCTTGCTAGGGTTACTGCATAATCCATGCATTCCTGCCAAGGATCAGCCATCTCCTAAAAATATTTAACACATAATCAGCACCAAGTAGTTACAATTCTCTAGAAGTCTTAATTATAGAATAGTTATTTCACAATTTCACCAAGGCATCTAAATTATCAACAGACTTTCATTTCAGGATTCACACTCTGCCCCCATTCTAGAGGTCAATTTTTTTTTTCCAACATTTACTCCTAGGCCCGGTAAAAAAACATTTTTTATCTGAATTACTTCTACTGTAAAACTATTTTCATAATAAAAAATATTCCATGAAATTGTCTCCCAGTCTGTCCACAGCATATCACATTAGAGAAAAACAACAACAACAACAACACTGGTTTGGAGAATAAAGAATAGAAGAAACAGTTTTAAAGATAGGTAAATGTTTGGGTGGAAAATAAAGTAAAAATAAGAGAAAAAACACTGGAAATACAGAAATAAAAGAAGTTTGAAAGGAAGGAGCAAAAGGAACATGTACTAACTGAATACCAGGCAGATAGGTGCTTTACACATGAGATTTTCTTCTTAAGAAGGTTGGAAAGATAAAGAAGGCTCAGAGATGAGGAATAATTTGTCCAAGAATATACGGAAGACACGGTCAGAATTTGAACTCAATTCTGATTTTAAAGTCCATTGTTCTTTCTCTTACAACATTCTGAGAAAAAAATTCCATGTCCCCAAAAATAATAAAAAAGAAAATTTATTTCTCTGAGATTCAGAGAGCGGAAAAATACCTGTATTTTTGTCCTCTGATTTCTCTAGCTTTTCACTGACTTCTGAAGACTAAAATAACTCACCACTGGCTTCACCACACTCTAAAATCTGTACCTAGCACAGTGAGGCTTTTGAAGCAGACTCAAAAACCGTGGCATCATTTATAAAGCAACCCTAATTTTGCCTCTTTTACAACCTAAAATAACTGATACGGAGTTGCATCTTGAGGACTACGCTCAGAAATCCCTATCTTGGTGCTCACCTTACAGGAAAGGGGAGAGCAAGGGAGGGGAAAGGACCCATATAGTTTCTGCTGGTTGTTGTTTTTTCTGATAAAAGCATTGAAAAATTTTTTTGAAAGGAGTCTACTTTCTGAATTATACAAGTACCTCCTTAGAGTTCTTCAAGAATTATTTCCAAACTTTTTTTTTCATTCTTACTCCCATTCTGCTCTTCTAATGTTAACAAAACTAGATGTTTTCAGCTGCATCTGCTTCCTGCCATAAAGGCTCTAGCCATCATACCTTCACTCCTAAGAGCACTACACTAATAAGACTACCAATTCACCGGGACCATTTCAAAAGCAACCCTCTGTTCTAGGGATTCTCCATCCAAAATTCACTATTTGTTTAATGATCCAATAGATGTTTGCTGAATATCTATTATATGCTATACACTGCACCATGGGGAGGAAAACCAGGTCCTGGTCACACTTACTCTCTCATAGAAAGTCAGATATTAAGCAAAAACTCACTGACTACATGCGAAATCACAAGTGTAATAATAAACACTATAGAAGAGAAGTGCAATGAGAAGCATGTAACAGGAGAGCTTTCACCTGCACTTAGGCAGCAGATCAAGTTTCCCTGAGGACATGATTAAACCAAGATAGGAAGGAGAAGTGAACAGGTATTACCTGACACAACCGCAGGATGCCTGGTACATGAAGAGTAACTGAAAGGCCTAAGCATGACAGGTCAGAGATCAAGGGAAACAGGGAAGCTTGAGGCTCAGGAGGTAGTAGGGACCATCCCTTCCAGGGCCTTAGAGAGAGGATTCTGATTAGACAGCCTTGAAGAAGCACTTCATTGTGGCTACTGAACAGAATGGACTGGAGGGTGGAGGGAAGGGCAGAGAGTGGGTGTGGGTAGAGAGTCAATTTAGATTCAGGATGCAGAAGACCAGAGGAGACCTGATGGTTGGCTTAAACCTGCCTGGGGAGGCAGGGAGTGTTATTGGCAAAGAAGTTAAGAGAGTCAAGAGACATCTGCTTTGGGAGAACACTGGGGAGACTTAGTAAGTGACTGGCTGTGGGCTATGAGGAAAGGAAGAGCTCAGGGATGCCCAGATTTCCCATTGTGGCAATTGAATGGATGATGGTGACATCTACTGAAACAGGGAGCAGCAGAGAAGACTAAAGATTGGGATTCGGTAGAAGGTTGGAAGATCAAGAGTTTAAATAGCAGAGGATGAGGGGCCTCTGTGAATTCAAAAGGAGATATGTCAATTAGGCAGCTGAACACACGCATCCCCAGCTCAGACTGAAGCTATAAATACATGAGTTATTTGAGTAGGCAGCAACTGCAGCCCTGAGTCTGGACTTCACTGGACAGGCATGACTGACAATTGTGGAGAAATGTGATCCCACGGAAAGCATAAATGATCTAAAACTAATAGACTGAGTGGGGTACACAACAAGGCCTGTCTCTTCTTGGCCCCTCTGGGCAGCATTCCTCTCTCCAGGGTATGGCGTAGGACCCCTTCTGAAATGGGGGTCTTAGGACGTACAATCAGATAAGATAGGTCAGAGAATTTCTTTATGGTCAGCTCCAAGACAGAAAGGCTGGGGAAGATTCTTGCCTTAGGGAGAAAAAGGGGCAGGTGAAAGAAGGGCAAGAGAAGGTCAGAGAGAGAGATTCCATTTTCTGAGGCCTGCAGCACCCAACGTTTTAACTACACATTGTAACACGAGCTATGAGAGTTACGAGCCTGGAACCGTGGATGAAATCCTATACATAAATCACAATATCACAACTAATATTTCTTGATGGTAAGGGGCCATAGTTTTACTCACTTCATTTTCCCAAAGACATAAACACATGAAAGTTTCCAACCGTGCCTGTTCTGGTCACAGCCTTCCCAGCAGTGGGAGCCACGCGACCTTCCTCTCTGTCCCCTGTCCCCAGCAGCACAAGGGCGCATAGGACGAGATCTGGGGCGCTGCCCCATCACTGAAAGTGACTACCTGACCCTGGGAATCTGCCAGGTCTCTTTGAGCTTCTTCGGAATTGGGAAAACTAAAAGGGGGCGATTATTCTACGTAAATTGCCACAGAGTTAGGATCGCGTGGGCGAAACCGCTACACAAACATCAGGACTGCTCTTGGCGCCCCTCGACAAGAGCTCCGGATACACCGCGGGGCAAAGGTCACCCAGATGCGGCCTCCGCCCCGGCGCCGACCCGCGCCGTGCCGACCGCCCTCGCCCTCGCCCCTCCAGCCCGGGAGGGGCCGCCCCGCGCCGCCCAGACCCACAGAGCCCACTGAACGTGGAGAGGGCGGCGAAGGATAGCGGGACCATACGGTCTCACCTCCAGTGCAGCGCGTCCTGCTCGCCTGATGCCGGCCGCTATCCCGGGGTCAGCTCCGGGAGGAGAGGGGCTGCCCCGACAGAAAGTTCCACCTTCTTATGCCCCATCAATGAGGGGCGTGGCTGCCGTGGGCCCCGCCCCCTGCTGGAGCCCAGCCCCCAGCGGCCCCCTGAGAGGCTTTGCCTTGCCTGGCTGGGTCCTGACCTGCCTGGCGCATCAGATGCCGCCTCTTTTTTCTCACTTCTGGCTCTTCTTGCTTTCTCCTGCTTGTCTGTTCTATTCTGATTTTTTTTTTTAATTTCTTTCCTCTTTATTTTGCCCATTTCTTCTTTGGTCTTCCATTCATTCACGTTTCCCATTTCCCTTTCTCCGTTTCTCTCATTTATTCCATACTGCTATTTTGACAAAGCACCAATTGGAGTTATGACTCCAGGTGTGCCGCTTTATTTGCCAGACTTATACTAGGTAAACCTATACGGGGGCTTTCTTTCTTTCCTTCCTTCCTTCCTTCCTTTCGTTCGTTTTTTGTTTTTGTTTTTTTGATAACTGATAATCCAAAACCAACTGCCCTATTTCCTTTACATACCATTTATTGAGGACTTACCATGCTTCAGGCAATTCTGTTTTTACATGCATTATTTTACTTAAAGGTTGCAACAGTTCCATGAGGAAGGTATGATTAGCTTCATCATACAGACGAGGAAAATGAGGCTCAGAGAAGTTAAGTGATTTGTCCTTAGGTCACACAGCAAGAGCAGGAAGTAAAACACTGTGACTCCAGAGTGGTGGCTCAGAAAACAGTACCCCAGAATGAAGGCCTCAGAAGCAAAAGATTTCTCTAACCTTCTCCCATCCTCCCGTCTCCGGCCCCCTCAGTCTCTCCCAGGGCCAGCCACAGAAGCAAGAATTCCTCCTCCTTAAGGCGGGTCATAGAAAGAAGAACCCCTATTCCCCAAAGCCAGCCATAAAGCCTTAAAATATTCCTCTAACTTTCCCCCTGTCTTTCTGTGTAAAAACTGACCATAAAGAAATTATCTAACCCATCTTTTCTGGTTGTAGGTCATAAGACTCCCCCCATTGCAAAGAGTGTCCAGCCCAATACCCAGAAGGAAGGAATGCTGCACAGAGAGGCCAAGAAGAATCTAAACAAACAGGCATTTCTGGGTTTTTCCACTCATTAGATTATACCCTTTTTGTCCATCATATTTTAACATGACCATCTGTACTTGGTTGAATCTAAGCATAAAAATGGACTCTTCCCCCTGTATGTTTGGGTCTGCATTCTGAAGGCTCCCAGGTCACATAAAACTATGATCACATAAACTCGTTTCCTTTTCTCCTATTAATCTGCCTTTGATCAGTTGATTTTCAGCAAACATTCAGAGGGCAAAGGGGTATTTTTCACTTGGCCACTACAGGAGTCCATACCCAGAGAATATATGGCTTCAGGAGGTTGCATTATATGAGGTACAAGGACTAGTCTATGGTCCTTAAAATATTTCCTCTTCTTGAAAGAGTGGCATCATGATGTGTGTGTGTGTGTGTGTGTGTGTGTGTGTGTGTGCGTGTGTGTGTATATATACATATATATCATAATGCAAAAAGGCTTGCTCACATATAAGATATCCTAGCCATGACAGGACCAGGAAAGTGAGTTATTTGACTCTTTGTTTATGAAGTGATTGTTTCCTTAGTTTAATCAGAAGACAAGATATTAAGGCAGTAG